AATATTTACACTGATCTAATTATTTATTTCTTGGTTCATAATTAGAATTTAAAAATAAAAGCGAACTACACTGAGTACCCCGGTCGGCAGTCTCTGGGGTTCGCGCATGATTTTATTTGCAAAATACGTCCCATGTCGTGACCTCAGCGACGGTGACAGTTAGTGAAACGGAGGATCAACATGTGATTTTGGAACGTCGTTCCTTCGTAAAAAGTCACGGTAATACTATTTAATTTTGATGACTAATCACTGTGATTTTTTCATCGTGACGTTATTTATCACCCACCTCTAGGATAGGGTTATTTCGCCTTACAAACCTGCCCGCTCACTCTCGCCTTATAAATCTGTTTCGTTAATCTTCTTTCATACATCCACTCTAAATGCCCAATCCGGCTGTCTATCATACTAGATAGCATAGTGGGTCGTTTTAAGGCTGTACCATGAATGACGTCAAGCTTGATTTTTTTAAAGAGAAATAGACATGCACCTAGTCACATTCTCATCTGATGACAAGTGACGATGTTGTCGAGGATGATTTTTCTAACAAAGGATTTGATATCAAATTCAATTCGACAGTTTTAAGTGATAGTTATGGGTTGCTACAAGAATACAATACCTCGTCTAGTCCAAAGCGTAGGATGGAATCGTAAAAAACACAATAAAGTCAAGTTATATCATCCACGACTATTACACTGGTCGGTATGAAAGAACTGCACTTATCTTTAATTCACTCAGGCACACACTAATGAGTGGGATGTATTTAGGGGATAATGGAGTTGTATGGCCCCCTTTAATAGTACTCAGGCCTTGTTTGGCTTAATAGAATCTCGTTTTAATTAGTACGAGTACCAGAGCAACGCAATTAAAAGGCGTTACCCAGAACATCCAGACCAGAAACACTTTGTAAAAGTCCGTTTTGAACTACAGACATTATTAACAGCGCGTCTGTAGCGATTCTGTCGCGATACAATTGCGCTTTTGTATCGATTCAACCCCCTATAAATCGCTAACATTGCGATGCAATCGCGCGTTTGTATCGCTGCTAGAAGTCGCTGTGGGTAACCGTTCTTAGATACAGTGCTAATAATAGCAAAATGTCGGGGATAGTGCAAATCAGCGTATGTAGTATTGGTAAAAGGCGCGTATCTGCACCAAAACAAATTTCGTAGAAGAGGGATTTAACATTATTACTTTGTTATTTCAATGGCTACGATTTTCATTTATGCACATTAAGCAGTAATTTATGTTGTCTACGGACTGATAACAAAAGATTCCCGCAAATCACGCTAATTTGGTTGCCACAAATCCCCGACGATATTTTGTAACATTTTTTATTAAATTAAGAGACAACATGTGAGACTGCTTTTAGAGATTGAATTGGATAGATTGATAGTGTAATTTATTTTGTATATCAAGAAAATAACACTTGTATTTATCAATATTACCTACCATATAATATTGAGCTTTACACTTTTGACTTTAGACCGTCTTATCGCAAGTGGCGGAGCTGAATTATAATCTTAAGTATATATAAAGGGACACGTATCGTTACCCACGTAATAAGATTCATGCGGGATAAAAATGGAAAATCTAACGTTCTTTTGTTTGTATTTCTTATTACAATCCGAGGACTACATTAGTCTATTTAATTTTACTTCACACTTTGTCCTCGACGTTATACACTCTTACGGTTTGCCCTAACCCACATCAGACTACGCAGGAAGGTCACGCAACGCTCAATTAAGCAACAAATTAAATGTAAAATGTAAATATATAAAATCATTATAAAATTTCATCAGACCCCCCAACAAGTCCAAACGCAACCTAAGTGCATATCTGTATCAGGAGTCGTAAACATAAATACATCATTATGACTTCTTTATACCTTATAGATAAAACAAACTGGCAAGGGGCACAGGTCACTGCAATCGTAGACAGATAATGGGGCACCACACAATAATCTAGTTGCTCAATATGACAAACATATTATTTGACATAATTGTAAATGAGGACTGATTTTGTTGCATACTCTTTTTGATGTGTTGGTTAAACTGATTGAAAATTTTGTTGTTTTGATATCTCTATCTCTTATCAGCTAAAATTGGAAAGAATGATTTCTTGACACCTCTTTGTTGTATAATGGACCCAACGACCATTTATTACATGTTTGTGTTAAAAACACAACTGCGAAGTCTGTACTTACTATGACAAGGCAATTGCACCTTATATTGCTGAAATAAGTATTCGAAATATCTATTCTTTTATAAATAGGTAATCAAACTAGACTTGAAATCTACGCAAGATTTTTTTGCCTTCACTAAGTCAAATACCTTTACAGCTACCAGTGGTTAACAAGAGATGATGTCGCTTTAATAATTATAATATTCAGTTTATTGAATATCACAATGTTTTAAAATTAATGTAAATATTAAATTATTTATTAACATCTTCAAAAAAAAGAGGGTCTCAATTCGACTGTTTCTTTTTTGTATGTATGTTATGCATTAACTCCTTATTTGTGAACTGATTTTTATTTGTTGGAAAGAGGGTACACCGGTATAGACCCCATTTCAATTTGAAGAAAATATAGAAGGCAAATTAGGGAATGAATCCGGTTTCGTGCACTTTCCATAAAAAAGTTACAATTATTTGTGAAATTACTCTACTAGTTTGTTATAATTATTAATACACAAATTGAACACTTACAAAAATTTTTCGATCCAGCTGGATTCGAACCAGCATCTTCAGTATACCAGGTCGACTAGACTTGAAATAGTTAAAGAACAGAACAAGGAAAAAGTATTTTTTTTTACCATTTATTATTTACAATCATTTTATTTTAAAATACCTATCACAGGCAGAATTGCAATTAATCCTAAAGTTGGGCTATACTTTGAGCAAAATGCAACTGCAACAAACCGCTTTAGCGGCGACATCACCTTTATCATTTGAGGAGACCAAAACTAAAACCCAAATAACTGCACTTGCCACTAGCAAGTAACATCTTTACGCTACAGCAATACGAGTCCCATGATCCATGGGCTTCCCTGATTTCTATGGTAGTAGACCACACGTTAATTTACTAATCACAATTTGGTTTTTGAAAAGTCATGTCTAAATTCATATTTAACGTAAAAGCTTAAGAAAAGCCTCCAAACTTTTAACCATGGACCATCACTAGGCTAGATACGGCCCTGTACTATAATGAAGAAAGATAAGTTACAATCTCCACAACAACCTATACTCAATAATAATAGCAACATAGCTATTGTATCTCTGAAAATTTGTTTATGTAATGTGTCTTGCACACTTTGAAATGTACACTTATTATTAAAGTTCAACTCTATGACACACAACTCTACATTATAAGAAGGTCTACAGTTGATAATGTGAAGTGTAGAACACCAGTAACTGTACTTATGTTATGCCTAACAATTTTTGTGCTAGATACAGACTTATGTTAGTTAATTACAGAAAATAGGTATTATATTTTTTCTGATGGAAAGAACAAGTCCATCTGGTGGTAAGCAACATGCCTACAATTAACAATTTGCAGTGCCACTCACAACTTTAAACCACAAAAACATTAGCAGGGGCATTGCCACTGAGCCACCCTAAGATATAATGAGACAAGTCCCATGTGCCTGTAGTTTCACCAGCACCCCATCATTAAAAACTGGAACACAGTAATGTTTACATTACTTTTTGATGGCAGAAATAGGTATGGCGGCAGTACCTGGACAAACTCTTCACAAGAATCTCCATGGCTACTCTAGTAATGTATACCATAACGCAGGTCATAATTGAAATCCCTTACAATACTGTTGGACGTAGCTTACTATTTGGTCGAGTACCTCCATGACAATGGTTACCATGCCGGATGCCATGGCCTAGGTTCGATTCCCGGGTGAGGAGAAATATTTGCATGACTTACATTTATTTGTCTTGTGAGTTTGGGTGTAATTTGTGGTTGCCTATGTGTGTGTCCATGACACAGGATTTCCCTAGTGCAGGGCTATGTAGTGTGTGCATTATTAAAAAAAAAGAAAAAATCGAATTTACATTACTAAATAGCGCATCAAATTCTGAATTAAACTATTTAAATAATTCATTACGTTCAAAGTTTTAAATGTCAATTTGTGATAAAGGCTAATCAAAAAGATTTCAAGTTATTTAATATATGACTATGTCCAGGCACTTTCAGCCAATGCTAATTAAGACATGCAATTTTGTCACACACATTTAACTGCCTCTGTGGCCGAACGGTTACCATGCCGGACTGCCACGCAGAGGTCCCAGGTTCGATTCCCGGGCCGGGAGAAATAGTATGCCCTACAATTATTTCTCTCGTGAGTTTGGGTGTAATTTGCGGTTGCCTATGTGTGTGTCCATGGAACCTGCGACACAGGGTTTCCCTAGTGGGGGGTACGTTGAGTGTGTGCGTTAAAAAAAAAATTAGTAAATAAGTACTATTTCAGTACATTTTTCTATGAGACCAAAAATGTTTTCAATAAACTAGGTACTGTAGTTTAGATGTAGCACATTTTTTTTACACATTTTTAATTTGCATATATCAGAAGCTCCACAACTAGATCATACAGGTAATATGAAATCTGTTATCAGGAACCAAGTAAGGAAATGAAAGTAGTAAAAGGCTCTAAGAACAGGTAAAGTGGCCAAATTAAATTTTCCTAAGTATTTTGCCCTAAGTGCGACTTTATCAATGCCCTAACAAGACATATCGCTACGCATATATTATGTTTACACATAGTCATATCGGGAAGGAACACAATTAGAGTACAATGTACAATAGTGGCACAATACATTATCTAATTTTAGATTAAATTAACAAGTTTTGTTGGCTCTATTTATTAGCCATGTGTTTATCATTAAACTATATTAAGCTGTTCAATCATGGAAAACGTGTACAACACGTAATATCTTTAACGAAATTATAAGAAATATATTTTTGTAATAAAAGGAGGGAAATTTTCACTTACTAAAAGTGGGTGTTCCGAACAACTTTCAAAGTAAATTTTCTCGTAGCTCCAAGCGATAATTCAGCTGATTCCACAACTGAAATATAAAACAAACGTTACAACATCTAATAAACCGGTCATATAAGTAAAAAACATTGATAAAACTGAAATAATTACATAAAATTATCGAAACCCGTACTGACAGCCGGCGAAGTAATTAAATTAAAAAGTTGCTATGCTTTTTTTTCCATAACTCAAATTAACTTTTTATAGTCAAACCTGTTCAATTATAAAAAGAGTAAGCGATCTTTATTCTACTATAGGTATCCCTGTCTTATAATTTTCTTTTACAGTACTTATTCCAATGAAAGCGCACTATATTTTAAAGTAGCAACATTTGAACACTTTTTTAAAAAGTAGCCATTTCCAAATGTAAAAATTCCCAATTGCATTTTCCATTTACTTTCGATTTATGAAAAGTTGAAGTTTATTGTTTAGGTTTCCTTTTAAAATATGATTTTAGTTTTTCAATTATATAAAAAATTCATATATTGGTAAAATACCGACATTCAATCTGATAAGAATCTAATTATAAATAAAATTATTAAATTTCTTCCGGCAGTCGATTTTCACGATTTCGCAATTGTGGTATCACTAAACGCCAAATGTGGCAGTCGGGCGTTTGGTGAAGCGTATTTATTTTATTTCATTTTGCAATTTAATCATTAGGGAAGTCATTACTTATTTTTTTGTTAAAATGTAGAATGTTAAGCTATAAAAATACTAGTCTTAACATGGAACAAAATCTTACATCGCGGTTTCGAAGAGAGTCGTGATGGAACCGTTTGGAGACACGAATTGTAACTCGATGAGCGACAGATTATCACTATACGAGCGTTATTTGCGGAGTTTCAATGTGGTGGATAGTTTTGTAAGCGAGAATCGCGACGGTGATCAAGAAACGCACCGTGAATACGACAGTTCATGTGACGGTAACGTCCATTTGCCCGTAAATAAACATTACGAAGTAGATATTGAATGCAATCCGTCTAGAATTGACGAGAATATCGATATAGATAGACCTTTGAATTTGGAGGGTGATTATTGTAAGGACAGCCGTCCGTCTCCAGGACCTTCACTGCTGGAGAATTCTTCAGCCACTGCGGAGCATAGCACTTTTACCGAGAAGTCTAACAATACTGATATCCCAGTATCATCTGACGACTCAAAACCTGACTGTTTCAAACAACCAATATTTATTACCTCAACAATGGAGAACAGTAACAATGCTGTAGACAGTGTGCCTTTGTTTCGTGACGTAAGACCCTCGGAGAGTGTCTTTAAACTGCCTATTAGTGAATTATCATTCAACGGAACCATTAAGCATATTCAAAAACTGAAACCGATTGTAGATCCTATAACTGAGCTTACCACTAGAATAGCTCTAGACAAGGAAGAAAAGTCGCAATCACTACAGCAATCTATATTTGATAACGATAGCAATGTGGCTATTGAATTGGACAAGAATTCTACATCTGAAAAGTCAAATATTTCAAGCACAAGCTCTGACACAAGTAAAACCTTGGTAGAGAAAACAAATGACAGCACAGGTGATTCACAATATGAAGAATGCAACAAAAATGGTCAGTCCGTGGTAAATGAAGATAGCGTAAAATGGAACTCTGACCAGAGTTATTCATCCCTAGAAGCATCCTTTGACAGTGGTGTGAGATCTCCAGATATGTTTTCCGATGGGGATGATGATAGGGAGATACAGGAAGCTCCAGCACCATTCTGGGCCTTTTTAAAAGATGTAGAGACTTTTGACAGGAGGAGAGTCAGGAAACTTGAGGTAAGTTGTAAATTATATGTCCACACTATTTAGTGTATCCATCTTAGACCAATGGTTTGACTGTGGGTGCGAATGTCCCAAGTTAGGAGGACCAATTTGGGAATAAACTTCTCTATTAGTCACCTTCCCTTAAATAAGTTCTACCATCTAATAAAAAGGAATCTCCACTATGTAGATCCTGTAACAAACATGAAGATATGCTACATTTATTGGAATGTGGCTCTAAGTAGCCAATATCAATAGGGGATATTTTTCAGGTTAGGGAGTTAATTGTTGTGTTGTGTGACCCGTTGGCAAAGAGGGCTAAAACTCTATACTCATATGTCAGGTCTTGTCTCACTCTACGTCGCGACACTATATAGTAGAATAATCCATAGGGATTGACATCACAAGGCCGATGTTGACACCCAAGTGTTACAGGCTTATTAAAAATAAGATTTAAAAAAATTCAATAATGCTCTATAAAGGGTTGTGCTGCTCTAGTACTCATAGTACAGAAAATTTCCTATTTGGTTGTTGTCTGGCACATTATTGTTAATATTATGCAATAGTAATTAGATTACTTTATTGTCTTCACATTGTTTTACACATCTTTGACCCTGTTTTTATACTAAAAGAAGGTGTCTGTTTTATATGGTAATAATCCGAGATCGGAATAAGCAGAATTTATTTATTATTTATTAATATATTTGGTTAGCCAACAATGAGTACAATATACATTACAATAAGATAATTGTACAATAGCCCCATTACTTAGAGGAGAGCACTGCATGCACAATAATCTGTTTATTTTTAAATTAACATTATGCTAAAACATTCTATATAAAATACTTATTAAGAGAGAAAAGAGAATCTATAACTATTTGTGCAATAGAAGTCTTTTAAAGTAAGTTCACAGACATAGTTGCCAAATCCACTGAATTGTAATATGTAAGTATAACACACACACATATATATATATATATATAATACCTTCCTAAGAAGTCCCAGAATTAGTGTACCTATTGTATTTTCTTTTATATTTTTGATGTGTAATTGGCAATAACTATATTAAAGGTGTTGTACGAAATGAAAGTATTTTTTCGTATCTAAATCACATGTTTCTTTTTTCAAACCCAAACCTCTAAAGGTTCAGGATCTGTAAAGGGCCCCAAACCTTGGTTTAGACCCAAAAAATACTCTCATTTCCTACATGTAACAGTTGTGAAAACCTAAGAACTCGATATTTTATTGTGATTGGAATAAAAGTTTTGTATCATAAGTAACATTATTACTACTTTGTTGGTGCATGAAAGGAGCCTCCCCAAAAGACGTACCATTCTTTTCCTAGACCCTAAAATGGTGGTGGTGATAGAATTGACGAATGGCACCCAGTGCAAAAAATTCTTTTTTAAACGCTAGAATTTTCTATCACGGAGTCTTACCAAGCTCCTTTCCTCCATTTTGATATATTTTTAAATGTGTAGAATTGTCTTCCGAAACGATTGAAGAAAATTTAATTAGATTAGGAAAGATATTTGACAAATTCGCTAAAGTCACAGGTTTTCAAGATGTTCAACTGTCAAAGTTGTACTGTTTACTAGAATAGGAACTATAAATACCTTGCTGCTGCATAAACATTGGTAATCTAGATCAATAGTAGTTCACACCATTCATCAAACACTGGCCTATAGTAGCCACCATAAGGAAATAGTAATAAGAATTGAACATACAATATTTATCAAGTTCTTATCTAAATCACGTATGTTTGTTGTAGTTATTGGTTTTTAAACATACCTACTCTTCGGGCTCTTTACAGCTCCCATGGACTCTGTAGCATGGAATATGTAGTTTCATATACAATAATTGGTAAAATGTAAATATTAATTTAATAATTAATAATTGGTAAAAAGTAATAGTTTCTACACTTCTGTGCGTTTGAATGTGTTTTTAATGTAATAGGTGTAACCATTAAGAACTCATTTCATTGGCTTCATTACTTCACACATAACATTTCTTATTTGTAGTAATGCCAGCCATTTAATTATTTAGGACATATGTGTACCAACAACTATAAAAAACTTTACATTTAAACATCATTATTAACCCATTTTTTTGTGCTGGGTCAGGGTCCTCCAGGGGTTTAGGCCACAACCCATAGCAAAGCAATGTGAGCATTCCAGTTTTAATGGTAAGAGTGAAATTACAGGCACATGTGACTTATCAACTTATGTCTCAGGATGACGGGCACAATGTCAATGCCCCTGGTAAAGTCTTTGCAGTTTAAAGGTTTGAGTGGCACTGCAAGTGCTATTGGCAGGTGTGTTGTTCACCACCAAGCACATGACTTGTTCGTCTCGTCATTTGATATCATAAAACGACATGGGTATGTGAGCTAACTTAGCATAACGGCATCCTGTATAAATCATACAGAACTAGTAGGGTGTTGAGATCTTTTTAGGTGTAGTTAACCACTAGGGAGCATATATAGAATGAATGTAAGTAATCTTTGGATAATGTAATTTTAACGTCGTCATACTTATACATACACCTTGTGCCTTAGCTGGATGCTAGAATATTAATTACATTGCATTAGGTCAGTTAAATCATTTAGGTTATCTACTATCAAACAGTAAGATGCTACACTCTACAACACATATAGATGTTTGGTACTGTAATCTAAAAACAATGTTGCCTATTATGCCGTAATAGTTAACTTCTGCATTTCTGTAATCTTTTAAAGATTGATTAGGCAGATTGAAAAGGAAAAAATCCATAATATGTAGGGCTAATACGACTGAACGCGACTTGCGCGAAAACGGCATTAAGCGCGAGATCTCTTCAACCATAGCAATATGTAATGCTGGTGCACTTTTATTTGATTCAGCACATTCTTGATTCTGCCTTTTATATAATAATGTAATGCCAATGACACCAATTGCCAGAGCCTCAAATCTGCTAATTTTAAATCATTTTAGTTGTGTGTCGATAGAGTTCATGGCAAGATTTTGTGCATATGGCATTCTGAAAAAATTTAAGACTATTGGCATTTTTTTCGATATCCTGCTATTCAATGGCAAGTCCATTTACTCTGAAGCATACTTATATTTGACGTGTTGAAGGCTTTAGTTTGAAGGCTATATTGCTGATAAAACTATATGAAAATTAAGATATGCATAGTCATTTCCATGGTGGGACTTTTTTTGCTAAAAGAAAAGCAACATGAACCGTTAAGTGATAAAGACAACTTAGATCATTAGTGACTGAATGAATGAAAACTTTATTAAGGTGTCAACTGCTGTTGTAACTAGATTTTAGCAGAATAACATAATATATTATCATAATTGCAATATAATCTCAATGTAATTACAACATTGACCAGTGGTTTCAAAAAATTTGCAGACTTAGCAGACCTGAATATTTTATACAATTCGCATTCTATTTTCATAGGAAATGAAACTATTTCGGGCCCTTTACAGGTCTATTTTTATTTTGCCTGTCTATTTTCGTTATTTGAAAGCAACTTAACAATTAAATATTTTTTATACATGAAAATAGTAATCATTTAAAGTAATATTGTAGAAAAATAACTGGATGTGGGTTACATCACTTTTGTGCTGGTAGCCTCAATTGATCTAATTACTATGGCATTTAATTCTAATAAATAAACTATAACGTAGTAAGTAGGTAGTAGTAGTAAACAATAAATTATAAATAATTGATAAGTAGAAAAAACCTTTTCGCTTTTGTTATATGCACAAACTGGAACTTAGAAACTCGTAAAATTAAATTGAAAAAAAAATTCAAATTATGAATGTGTATAATAATGTGCTGCATCATTTTTCAAAACTTACCTTTAGTTAGAAAATGAAAACAACTCCTAGAGATTTTAGTTTTTCGTTTACATGAAAATCTACGTCTTTATGCTTAAGAAATAAGTTAAATAATATCTGATTATAGGTGAAATTTGTTTACCAAACAAATTATAACATTTTTTAAGTTTGTAATACCAGATACCTTTAATTGAGGTCATGAGCCCTAGTCTTATTTGATTATGTGTTTATGACTTTCTTTCCTTACACAGTCTCCATTTATATAATACATCTAATGATAACTTTTTGTTGATTCAGGAAACCCTCCAAGGAGTACTACCACCACCTTCAGTGACGACCGTCAAATTAGATGTCACAGATATGCTTAAAAAGTATTACTGTTTCCTACCCGCCTTTCAAGAAAGCACAAAAGTTGCAGAACCTTCTACAACGCCCTCTAAGAGAGTGTCATTTGTTCATATACCAGAAATAATGTATAAGTCGGAAGTTACTACAGAAATTAAAACAGAGAATCATGCAGAAGTTCTTGATAAACATTCTGTAGATGTAGAAAAATCAGACGATTCGAAAGTGAATTCAATATCTAAAGAGATAAAGTCTGAATTAGATACGAGTGCGGATAAAACTATTGATTTGAAAATGTGTTGTGAGATTGAAGCTAAGGAGAGTGCATGGCCTGAAGCCTTGAAATGCCGATATCATGATGTATAGTAAGTATTTAATTTATTTTTTATACAAATGGTTTTAACTCAAATTCACCGATCAATGATTTCCTGAACAATTTTGCATAATTGGTAAGTAAGTACTACACTCACAGATATAGGCTAGTAGCAATAGAGTTTCTTGTGAAAGAGGTAGTCCAGGGAAGTACTGCCACCTTACCTATTTCTGCCGCCAAATTAGTTATGTTAGCATTACCGCGTTCCGGTTTTAAAGGCTAAGGGTGCTGGTGAAATTACAGGCACATAGGACTTGTCAACTTATGTCTCAGGGCGACGTGTGCAGTGGCAGTGCCCCTCAGATCTTTGCGATTTAAAGCTCTTATGGAAACTGTTATGGATAGGCGTATAGCTTACCACCAGGCGCACGACTTGTTCGTCCCGTCATTAGATATTATAAATTTAGAAAATCCCATTACTTCCAATTGTCCAGTCAGTTGAGAACTATTGATTTTTTTTTCTTGGTGCTGCTTGTGAAACGAGTTCGTCCAGGGATACTGCCACCTTATCTATTTCTGCCGTCAAGCGGTAATATGAACATTACCGGGATGTTGATTTATGTTAAAACATAAATGCTAAATAAATAAAGCGTACTTTGCCATGACAGTTACATGCAAGCGGTCACTGCGCGGCGGCAACGCGGTCTCCGCGCGGCGTAAGCGCGATGAAATTCGTATCGAATAAATGCACCCTAAGGGTGCTGGTGAAATTGCAGGCACATTGGGACTTGTCAACTTATATTACAGAGTGATGATTTTAGCTACACTGTTGCGTTAGGTTTGTCATGTAATGATAAATAAATAACTATTCGACCGAAACATGCTTGCGTCCTCGCTAAGAGCTTAACTAATTCTGCTACTAAGAAGTAATGCTCACATTACTGCGTTCCGGTTTTAACGGGTTTAGGGAAATTACACAGGCACATGAGACTTGTTAACTTATGTCTCAGAGTGACGGGCACAGTGCTGACGACCGCTAACTAAAAGGCGGTTAATTGACAAAATAATTTTTTGAGATTTTATTTATTTATTTTCAAGGGATAACAAACTTTAAACCTTAAAAAAATTCAAAGGGATAAAGAGATATCATAAAAACTAAAACCCCGTTTTCAGAATATTGAAATTGTTTAATGAAGTCAAAGTCAAAGTCAAAGATTATTTATTCCATAGATAAAACAAATTTACATTTGAAAACGTCACATTTAAGCTACTGCTCGTTCGCTACGCTGACCTCCCTGAGAAGAACGAGCAAGAAACTAGGGATTACACTTTTCAAATAAACTTAAATGCTATGGAATACACTTTAAATCAAATTTGTGTGGATTCTGGAGCCGTGTCGTCTTTCCATACATATTTATCTAACACGTAGTCTTCAATTTTGTAATATGATTTTTCGATCAAAATATTTTTAATGTAGTTTTTAAACTTAGGAAATTATAAACTTAATATATGCTCCGGAATCTTATTGTAAAAACGTATAGTTACCCGTCGTGGTACCATGAGTTTGGACTTAGCTCTAAGGTTAACATTACGGATATCGTCTTTCTTATTGAAATGATGTATATACAAATATATTTTTTTTTATTTATGATATTTCAGCTATGCATCGTTAGGGTAAGTTCCGATAAGTCGAACACGTGAGCTAATTATAACTGTTTAAAGAGAATTTGGTGCTCCATTTTTTGCTGTTTAAAACGTAAAAAGTTATTTGAGCATTTGACACTTAGCCGCGTTTTAGTCAGTGGCCGGCAGAGTGGCAGTGCCCCTCAGATATTTGCGTTATAAAGCTCTCAGTGGCACTGCCACTGCTATGGTCAGGCGTGTCGCTTACCACCACACACATATCTAGTTCGTCTCCTCACTTGGTATTATAAATTTATAACCTTCATTTTTTATCATTTTCAGCTATAACTTGACCCCATACTCGGAAAAATTCGAACTACTAGCCCTTCGCTACGGCGAGAGATATGTCGGAGTTGAAACGGACACCAGTGTCAACGTCCACTCCGGTAGCTCACAGTCGCCTAGCAGTGCCAGCAAGAGGAGGGCTTTGAGACTCAAGTAATTATATCTATTTCTTTGAATATATAACTTTTATTTAAAATTACAATTGTTACAAATATTGTTTGTTTTTGGCACAACATGACAAATTTACTACTTCTTTTGTAACCTGCAGGCTTAACATGAGCAAGAGAAGAGATAATTTTTGTATTTGGGCTCATGCTAAACTGGCTGGTTGAGAATGTAGTTAGAAATAGTATGTGTGTAACATAAAAATTGGAAGTGTCCCAGGACTCATCCTGTGTGAAATGGACTATAGCTGCAAATCAACAATTAGGCGATGAATTGTGATTAATATATCAAACATTTCAGATTGGCTCAAACCAAATCACCTGGTCGTCGTCTGTCCCATTTGGCCCGTCGGCGACAAGCGTTCTGCAACGCAGCTACCATCAGCGAGAAAGCTCACTCATCCACTGCTAAGATGGTCTATATTGACAAGAAGTAAGTTGCTTTTTCAGATGTCAGACAATTGCACTTAACCTTGATCCTATTTCTGCAAATTTTCTTGAAGCCACTAGTCATTGTAATTCCGTTCAAACTCCATTGGAATCATATTGCAATAGTTACAATGGCAGTTGAGTCTCAACAGAGTGTAAAAAGGATGGCGTAATGGTATTCGTTCATCCATTTAATCACTGTATTATTGTATATAAAGTAATTTAATTTTTGCATCCAAACACCAAGTGTCCATTCGAACAATATCCCATCATGCCAAATGCGAAATGTCTGATCGCGAAATCTCCGATCGAAAACAGTCTAATCGCAAAATGTCATTTTTGAACACGCAATCTAACAAAGGTTTTTTTTAAGTTACTTCCCACACAGAAAGCTGATCAGCTCTGCCGAACGAAAAAGCCCCAGATACCGCCGTACACCAGGCAAAAAGACTCCCACACGCAAAACACCAGGCAAGAAAACGCCCGGAAAAACTCCCAAAAGCTCCACTAAGAAAAAGGCAATGAGAAGATTGATAATGGACGAAAATCGATCACAAAGTGAGCACGTAACCAGATCGCAACCAAGAGAGAACTTTATAAAACGAGCTCTATTCATAAGTCCGGAGAATCGAAAATCAGTACCACAAGCACCTTGTACCTCTGTTCCTACACAGGCAATGAAATCCCGAAGAGCTTTATTCGGTTCTCCAATAACAGCTGAGACGAAAAGCTCAGATGGTACTCAGAGCGACCAGTTTCTGAAGCGAAAGAGGAGTTTCGATGATGTAGGGGAAAATAATAGAAGTAAAATCGCGAAGAGTCTTTCTTTTGGAGGCGACAGCATTGGTACGGAGCAGAGCTCGACGCTGTATCGACGATCGTCGGAGGTCTTTGCTAGCAAAAATAGCGTGGATTTGAATGAGACGCATAAGAAGGTGAGCTTTTGAATTTCTTTCTTATTTACTCTGTTTTGCCGATATATGTTTTTGCCCTAATAGCTACTTACCAACCCAATCTACTATAACCTTTATCATTCAAATTCCTTACCAAAAATTATTACTTACAAAAAATTACGAAATCTCTGCAACAGAATGTGCAGGGATGCTAAACGTCGCTACATTCTTTCGTGTATTCAAGATCTCTCCCAGGCTCAGGTATGGAAATTTCTGCACTCGATTGGTGTAGGCAAGTCTTCTATGGATACTTGCCACAACAATGTGGATCTCAATTCCTTGAACTCCCATTTTTCTACGCCGCCAATCATCCTTAACCGTCTTACTAAATCTAATACTCTTACTTTTCTATTGTCCTATTGTTTTTTATTGTCCTTTCACTTTTGAGATCGTCTCAGAGGATCTTGTAAAGAAAAGTATCCGCTCTATCTCCACCAAGGCAGTGACAATTTGAGCCTTGACATGATTCTTCCTGTGTTGGAGGACATTGCGCCTGTTATAACACATTATAAATTTCTCTCTCTCGTGCAATGTTTTTCCTACACAATGGAAAAAGGCTTTTGTTATACCTCTCCCTAAAGTTCCCAAGCCTACATCTTTCTCACAATACCGTCCTGTTTCCATTCTCTCCATTCTCTCGAAAGCCCTAGAATCCATTGGCCATAAACAACTTTATTCTCACCTCACCTCCAATAACCTTATATGTCCGTTTCAATCTGCCTTCCGTCCTTCTCACAGTACTGTTGGAGCATTGCTAAACATTACAGAAGACATACGTCGTGCTATGGATGAAACGAAACTCACTGCCATTGCTTTGTTGGATTTCAGCAGTGCTTTTAACTCTGTTGACTTTGATATCCTCCTTGGTACCCTTCAGGCTGTTAATATCCCCTCTCCTGTTTTAAAATGGTTCTCTTCTTATCTCTTCGGTCGCTAGCAATGTGTGAAAACCAATGACGGTTCGTCATCTTGGTCTAACTTAACTGCTGGTGTGCCTCAAGGCGGCGTACTTTCTCCCTTACTCTTTTCCATTTTTATTAATAATATTGCCCGTGTAATTTCTTCTCCCTTCCATGTGTATGCTGACGATCTTCAACTCTATCGCAACTTTGAGGTGGGCGAGGTATCTCCGACTATAGCGGCTCTCAGTTTCGATTTGTGTGCCATTCAGTCATGACTAAGTCATTTGGTCTCCTGGTTAATCCCGCTAAGTCTCAAGACATGATTGTAGGTAGTAGCAGATTAAGGTGCAAGTTGGATTGGTCCCTGCGGTACCTGCGTTGGTATACGATGGAACTACTATTGCATATACTGACAAGGTAAAAAATTTGGGGTTAGTAATGGACAGCACCTTATTCTGGACTTCTCATGTTAATGAGGTCAGTAAACGAATGCACTACTCATTCCATTCTCTCAAACGATTCCAATACTTTCCCCTTTTCATACCAAAATTATGCTTGCGCAAACCCTTCTTCTTCCCATACTAGACTATGACGCCGACGTTGGTTACTTGGATTTAACCGGAGAGCTTCTGAGCAAACTAGAGCGCCTACAGAACCTAGCTATCCGATTTATTTTCGGATTGCGTAAATATGATCATGTCTCCGAATTTCGCACTCGTTTAAAATGGCTGCCAGTTCGCCGCCGCCGTGATTTGCATATCCTGTCCACACTTTTTAATATACTTAATGACCATAACTCCCCCTCCTACCTTCGTTCCCGGTTTAAGCTGCTGCCCCCTCCCATCCGCTCAAGACGTCCTTGCATCACTAAGATGCTCGTTCGTCCCAGCTGCAATACAAATTGATTTTTTAACTCTTTTTCTTCTCGAGCAGTGCAGTTGTGGAACAGACTCCCTTCTCACATCCAATCTAGTCCGTCGATCGCTTCCTTCTAAAAAAGGTTGATAGCGCACTTTCTTGCTGAATTCTCCAAGATGATTATCTTATATGTGTATTTTATGTTTTATATATATCTATATATATATATATATATATATATATATATATATATATATAATGTCTTTTATTATATGTGTGTACGTGCTAAGTTTATTATTTTTGTCCTTTTTTACTTGCACAGTGTTGCCCGCTTATGACCTTTGTTCTCACTGTATTGGGTTGTCTGGAAGAGATCTCTTTTAGAGATAAGTCACTTTTGCTCACGTTTTCTATAATTAAGTTTTCTGATGTATTTTTTTTTTGCAATAAAGAATATATTATTACCTTTTTCATAATCTGTAATTCTGTTTTTCGAACCTTTTAATTGTCTAAACGCGAAGGCAACGCCATTGATAAGAAAAAACAAAACGTTTTTCTTTAGCTTTTGCGCAGGCGTCATTGCCTCGATTTTAAACGACGTATAAATTACGTTTAAAATTTTACTACGATTTTATGCTCTAGCATAAAATCGTATTTTATGCAGCCTACACCCAGCATAAAAACGAACGTTAAGACCATGAGTAGTGAAAAACATGTAATGTATTGATGGGCTTCAGAAACTCCTGTGGGCCGTGTCGGAAGCGCTGCGCGTGCACGGCTGGCGCATGTCGTCGCCCGGCTTCCGCGAGAAGGCGTCGTGTCTGGCGCGACTCACGCGTCGGCTGCTCACGCTGCCGCCGCACGCCGCCAGGTTCGCTGCGCCCAAGGCCTCCACTTCCGAGACTATGCTCAAGTGAGTATCATTGACACTTTGTGACGACGCTGACTCCGTCGTCTACCTGCCTCGTTATGATATGATCTCTTGTGGAGTCGAAGCTACAAAATCTGGACCATCGCAGGAAAGTGGCCTACCGGTTTTCTATCGGATACATTTCGGGTAGTGTGCGCTGCAACTTTTCAATTTAGTTCCACCCTCACCCTTCCTCCTTCGGTCGACTAAAAGGTCCGGAGCACTCCATTCTTATGTCGTTGATATTCCACCTATTCGCATTAAGCGCTTTGCTTGCTCCTTTCTGATGCATAGGGGAAATGAATGGAATACTCTACCGGTGTCTGTGTTTCCCGAAACGTACAATTTAGGGCTATTCAAGGCTAGAATGGACAGGCATTTTTAGGCAAACGCGTTCCATCGTCGCTTAACAATCAGGTGAGATTGTTATATATATAAAAAGAAAAAAACGATAAAAATAAATTTCTGTTTTTTTAATTGTATTTACACAAAGTTGGGACTTCGTAGTAGGTGTCATCCACCTGGGACAGGAATTTCCGATCTTCCGTAATGTTTTAGTTGTAAGAAACACAATTTACTGCCTCCGTAGTTGAACGGTTACCATGCCGGACTGCCACGCAGAGGTCCCAGGTTCGATTCCCGGGCCGAAAGATTTGTATGGCCTACATTTATTTATCTCGGGAATTTGGGTCTAATGTGTGGTTGTCTATGTGTGTGTCCATGGCACCCGTGTCACAGGGTTTTCCCTAGTGCGGGGCTATGTTGAGTATGTGCGTTATTATTATTAATTTTCTAAGTTACAAAACTAATTAAAATTTTCAAGTGGTAAATGTAAATGGTAATGTTTTATGACCTTCTTTACTGGTTCTTGGCAACTTACTAGTCATAGTTTTACAACTAGCCGTATTCCATCGCGACCTAACAGATTTGGTGGCACCTTCCTCTGTCGCACAGTTGAGAAATGGAATTGCCTTCCAGGGCACGTATTCGATCAGTCTTCAAGAGGCATTTTGTAGGCATGCAGGGTGGAGATGGCTAGGGCAGTGATTGTATCAACACTGCACTATGTTCCTTCAAGTTTGGATTCCATTTTCCACTTTACGTCAGGTGGAATGGAGTCATCTATCTGTCATGTAAAAAAAAAACACTTAAAATTTCGAATGGTTAGTTAGCTGTTAAATCATATAAATAGTCCCTTTTGGGGTGAGTATTGTTTTCAGTAGGGAGTGTTTTATAGCACTACATGCTGGACTACCACGCAGAGGTCCCGGGTTCGATATCCGGGCCGGAAGAAATATTTGTATGGCCTACATTTATTTCACTTGTGTGAGTTTGGGTGTAATTTGTGGTTATCTATGTGTATATCTATGGCAACCGCGATACAGGGTTTCCATAGTGTGGGGCTATGAGTGTGTCTACGTAATGAGTGTGTGCATTATACCAATTGTTCTTTTTTCATATCATTTTATTTGTTACAGCTTTTTCATTTCTACTTCTGAAATATATTACATAGACTGGGCCTTTACTTTCCTTCCAACTAGGCTAGGCTACAACTACGCTAGATAATTATACACATATTACTTAACAACTTTCCCTAGAGAATTTGTATCAATTATTCGACTTTTTGTTCTTACCGTTCAAAACACCATCAACTGATTTTAGAGCTATAGTAACTGTAGATACTAAATTGCAATGGGGTTGACAAATAAATTTCAAATTAAGTAATACCTATATTCGTTTACATTTCGGTTTCATGACAATCAGAATTTTGCATTTTTTAGCTATAGCTCAGTTGGTAAGAGCGGTCTCTCCGATGTGGCAACAGGCGCTGGTTCGAGTCCTGTCAACCATAATAAATTTAGTAGTAATAGAGCTCCTTGTGAAAGAGTTCGTCCTGGGAAGTACTGCCACCTTACCTATTTCTGCCATCAAGCCGTATTGTGAGCGTTACTGCGTTCCGGTTTTGAAGGGTAATGGCGCTGGTGAATTTATAGGCACATGGGACTTGTCAACTTATGTCTCAGGATGACGGGCGCAGTGCCCCTCAGATCTTCGTGATTTGAAGTCAGAGTGGCATTGCAACTGTTAAGTACAGACGAATCGCTTACCATCAGACTCAATACTCGTTCGTCCCGTCCCTCGGTATCATAAAAAAATCTTTTAATCCATAATAAAAACAGGAATTCGCTTTGTCAAAATGCAACACAGTTACAATTTTATTCTATAGACCTATAAATTTATTTTACATTAATTTTTGTCCCCAGGTTGGCTCGTCAATACGTATTTGCAATAATCCAGGGGCGCTCCGTCGAAGACTGCTTTCAAGAGGAACAAATGAAGATTGCAAACGAATCGTCAAAAGTCACCGGCTACATATCAGCCACAGCCTATCAACAATTAAAATCCAAGGCCAGTACGTCCTCTTTCACCTCACAGATTAAAGAAAATTACGTCGTTAATGTTAAACAGGAACAACCTAGGAGTGCTTCGAAGAATATCTTACAGGACAAACTTGTTAATATAGACTCGAGCTCTAATTCCAGTAGTGGAATGTCCATGATAGATAGAATGGATAAAAGCGCCCTTTTCAAGTCCAACTCGATGCCTTCGTTCGAGGAAGCGGCAAAGATGCGAGCTAAGAGACAGATAAGCTTTGACAACGTTGAGTTCCCTAAGAGGTGAGGTTTCTAATTATAAGTAGATTGTTATTGATTACTGACTAGTTGTATATAACTCATTTATAAAAAACACGGGTTGTATATTAACTGGCAGTAACAAAATAGTCTAGTGTCTGTACTGATTTTTATACATGCGTATGCATTAATTCTACGGACGTGTATTAATGGATCAAACTCAAAATGATATTCACTTTAGTATAAAGGTTTAGGTAATTATAGTCTGTCTTTTTTGAAGACGGAGTAAAATAAGAGTTCATTGCGAAAAAGTGTTGCCAGCAGCTAGTGATTGCAGTCGATAAATATTCGTAATAATTGAACTCTTCATTTGAATCATCCTCGACCCATTATTCATCCAATTACTGAGTACAACAATTATATAATTATTTTAAATCATTTTTGGTGCCAAGCCATAATGCCTCATTAAATACATCAACAGTTTGTTTACATTTAGTTTACGTAACGTTTATAGTATAGACAGGATCAAGAAAGTAATATGAAGAGTCCAGGGAAAGAATGACCAAAGTCACTTCAGGAGATTTTTAGGAAAAAAGAATTTGGAGAATTTTTGAGTATTGGTGAAAAAGTGCGTGTCAAATACTACCTGAAAAAGTCAAAGCTAACATAAATGTAACGCTATGTAATCCATTTTAACTAAAAAACATTTTAAATCATTTTTAACTTTTCTACATTGACATTGAACCTTATTAGCATTTTTCTGATTTATGCAAAATACGCTCAGCGTTGTGACGGTGTGACCTCCTGGCACCGTCATCCCACCATTTTATCGCCTTTCACCGGTTCCTGGCCACTCGTATTTAAATTTTGAATTTCCATAGTTCTTTTGCCTCGCATTCTGATTTTATTTCGTTCAATTGTCACTCCCTGCCCGATCGCGGCAGCGAACACGTCTACTCTTTGAGCCATTTACCAGTTACCAAAAAACTCTTATACGATAAACATTTTGAAGATCATAAATATTGTTAAAACTGGAATAAATATTTATAAAACTGGATTTATTACCACCCTTTTGCAACTTTGAACTTTAAACTTACTAAGTAAGAGGCTGCGACGGCTGCGGTAACTACTACTACTCTCCTGGCTACATTACAATCCTACTGAACAGTCAGCAGAACTCCAGCGCTCTCACAGTAGTAACTCAAAACGTGGTTAAGTGACTTTGACCATTCTTTCCCTGGTCACTTCATATGTAAGATCGTCGTTTGTACATAGTGTACAAACGACGATACTTTATTTATTAGTTTTTATTTTGTTATTAGTCTTTATTTGCTATGATTTATTAGTATAAACTATACTTATTTTATTACTGACTATTTGTAGAAGTTTACAGTTACAAAATAAGTTTATAATTTCTGCATCCTATCTAGTGAATATAATTGAGTTTGATCCATTTATATTCATCGTACTGCGTTTGCAAGTATAAAAATCTAAATTATAACAATTATCTCGTGGCGAATTATCATAAAGCATAATAGTTTATGCGTGTTAATTATGAAATGTAAACGTCAGTCAGTAGCCATAATAAATACTCTACTACATACCCTAGCTAAACAAACGTCCATATTTAATCTCTGCGCGTAACATAGTTAATATTTAATAAAATGACGGGAATTGCGATCAATCTATATAATCATTATAATTATTGCTATAGATCAACATACGCTTATGAATACAAAAAAAACACGATTACTATTAGAAACGTGTTCGCAACATGTCGTAGATTAGTGTGTGTTGATGCTAATCGTTATAAGCTCGACTCTCCCTTGACTGGGCACGGGAGGATACGCCTCGACGAATCATCGCCATCCTATAGCAACGAATTCGACCAATCGCATGCGCTTCCTTCCCGCGCCCCGTAAAATGCGGCAGGGCGATTGGTCAAATTAAAGTGTTAACGAGCAACTTACGATAGACTCTAATGAGTTGTTTATACGTGTAAAGTTATTCAGCCTGCTCGTGTGAAAACTTAGGTCATCGATTCGGAAATGAAAGAAGACGTGTTCAAATAACCAATGAGATTTCGTTATTTTCTGTAAGTAGATAGGCGATGTAAAATACATGCTTATCTCTACTGTCATAGTAATTTTAATGGGCAATGATAATACATGGTATCATACGGGCGGTAAGAAGGCTATTACGAACAGAGGGATAGATTGCAATGACCTGAAGTGTAGTTGCTGTTTTTCCTCATACTTGCGAAGAAGGAAAGAAGGAAGTTAAAAATTAAAAAGTCAAATTAAACTTAAAAACATTAGTTATTGATACTATATTTACAAAATTTCAAAAATACGGACAACAGTACACCAGACTACACATTTTTGTTCGAAAATCGCCTCCAGTGCAACGGAACAAGATACGTCAATGTGTAGCTTGATGTGCTGGCGTTTGTACGTCAGAAAAATATCTTATAATATTTTTTTCATTTAGAAATAATTGTTTTAACTTTACGTATGAATGAAATAAAAAATCGTTTCCGTTTATATTACTTTTAATAAATATCAAATAATCAACATTCTGGGCTGTTTATCCGCGCTTCCAGCGGGCGCCTGGCGGGAGCGTTGATAATTAAAAACAAATAATTACCGCCCTACGGTCGTTTGATACAAATACGTCGTACAACTACGAGCGAGTGTGAATTGTGATGAAAAGAATATTCCATTCATTAAATGACGAATTGCCGTTGGTTAAAGAAAAAACGACATCTCTTCATAAGGCGGGCGAGCACGTTCAAACGCGCTAATGTACTGTATTTGAGTGGCTAAAGTAGAGACGGGCCTAATCAGGTAATGAGGGTAAGGAGGGGAAAGCAGGGATACTGCTATGATCTACGAACGATGCGTCACTGGCAACTTCAGGCAGTGCTGGAATATGCTCTTAACTATAGTATAACCTTAAGACAGATTTGTAAATACTTTACATATTTATTTTTTATTATGAAAACTTTGTAACATTTAAAATCTTTGTGGCGGATTTCTTTTTCTATTTTACTTGCGGTGACTTTTGAAACTTACTTTTACGCATACTTTAATATAAGCTAAATTTGAGTACAAGCTTTTTCTTCACGATATGCAAACGAAGTGTAGGAAATATGTGCTTCCGTCAGTCCTAATTTTAATGTTGTTTTGTCTTATAGTTTTATTTTGTTTTAGTTATATGACTTTGTGTGAAGATTGTGAAATGTAGGAAAGTGACAAGTCATATTTCTTATTAGTAAAATTATTCATATGATAGCATAAAACGACTGTACTTATTATATTATGGCGTCATTTATACATCAGAGAGTGGAAGATGCAGGGTTTATAGGTCGGTTTCATTCAAGCAGGTACAGGCCTACCGCTTAACTGAGTCGGTTCCTGAGGTAGCTGCGCAGTGCGGGAGGAGTGACAGTTTACGTAACAGTTATGTCGCGCTGCACATGGGATAATTTCAACAAGACTTTTCTGGCGATATTCAGTAACAAGTTGACTGAAAACAGTGCCTACCAAATTAGTCACCTGGCACCTGGCTGACACTGATATTACGACGACCTCGGCGACACCACGGTTTCAATATTTTGTAAAATCAATTTTGGGAATGGACGTTTTGTAAATTGGCTCTGGTCTAGGTGTTTTGAGTAATGTCCCAGAGTGAATTTGAGACCAGGTAATTGGTGTGGTTGTGTGGTACATTAACATTATTATATTATTCCGTACATTGCTGTCCAAACAGTCTTGAGCACCGAATTACTACAATTCTTATGTTCGTTGCTCAAGTGATATCGTTTCTTATCTATCTGATATTCTCTCATAGGTTGGAAAAAGGTGTTCCACATATATAGATACATGCATAGACATAGCTACAAAGAGCGATATAGTTGTTAAAACCACCAAATATTATTTAATATTTTTTTCGAATTGCGGATTTCAAAGACAAAGTCTCTACCTCCGACCTAGGAAGTCGAGTTGTATTTTAAAGTAATTCCAGTAGTAAAAGTTTTCTGCGGTTTTTTAAATAAAAATTTTGAATAAGGACTTAAGGAAACGACGTTTAGTATACCAGTTTCTAAGTTCATAATAGTTCTTGATCAATTAAGCATTGTTTTAGCTAAGGGCATTTAATATTGAAAATGAAAAGTGGTTCGAATTATGTATGTATTTATCCGGGAGAACATAACATACTCATAGCCGCGCACTAGGGAAACCCTGTGTCTCCGGTGCCATGGACACACACATAGACAACCACAAATGACACCCAAACTCACGAGTGAAATAAATGTAGGCCATACACATATTTCTCCCGGCCTGGGCATCGAACCCAGAACCTTTGCGTGGCTGTACAGCATGGTAACCGTTCGGCCACGGAGGCACTTAAGATAAATCAAACTTTTTTTTTTCAACTACGGTAGCTCCCCCTCCACAGCATCAACGCTCATAATTGCTTCCGAGGTCCCTGCCGCCGAAACTATTACTTAGATTAGTGAATTTTTATTTCATATGCTTTTGTTGTGGCTGTATTTTTAATAGGCCCGCGGCAGGCTTACTGTCGCTCTCTTTTGTATAAATGACGTCACTTTAATTTGAAGCGTGGACTCGTATGACTATTGTAATATGTGTTTACTATTGCTGAGCATGATCTCAGGTGTTATTGATGCTAAATAAATTATTTTTTCGTCTCAATATCGTTTTTTATTTCCTGCAAAGTTATAAATAAAAAAAAATATGATACCAAACGACAGGACGAACTTGTCATGTGCCTGGTGCTACACACACCTGTCCATAACATTTTCAAAGCCACTCGGAGCTTTAAATCTTTATTAATTTAAATTTAAGAACTGAGGGAAACTGCCAGTGCGCCCATAAGCCTGAGACATAAGTTGACAAGTCCAATGTGCCTGTAATTTTCCTTACCCTTCAAAACAGGATCGCAGTAGTGCTCACATTACTGCTTGGCGGCAGAAATGTAATTGTTTATAAAACGTAATAACTAGTGCATGCGTGTAAAACAGGTAAGCCTGTTTTGCTTGCGTTGTTAAGGTCAATTTACATTGCTGCGGAACGGAATGGAAACTAATTTTGGTAACGAAATTGTATACAGCACAATGAATTTTATGTCTATTGTGTGAACTCTCTAAAACTGCAGACACACACTAAAACAATATATTCTTCCCGTATAACAACTACATTCCTTCGGCCGTTAGAGACAAACTCTTGACAGTTCTGGTGCGTTGTAGCAATTAGCAACTTACTTTATTATTAGGGCGCGTTCCCACTATGTCGTGACGACAGCTTGTCGTGCAGTTTACAGTGTCTCGTAGCTTGTTAAATAAAGTTTTTCACATATAGCACGACACGATTAACTATCGTTCACGATTTTTTATCGTTACAACGACAAACTGTCGTCACAGTGGTAACAGCTAGAACGACAGTCGTCAGACGATAAAAAAGTCGCAATAAAAACGTGACGACAGATTGTCGTAGCTCCTATTGTCGTCACGTTTTATTTATCGCTATCCGCTCATATTCTGCGCCCTGCCCTCCCCTCTCGTACCTCGCGCCCTCGGCTCGCTTTGCAGTAGCGTTAGGTCGTAGCCAGAGATGGGCAAGCGCCCGGGATTTAACCCGACGCTTTGTTAACGCCGGGTTTAAATCGGGATAAAACCCGAAATCGAGGGCGAAAACTATTTACGTCTAAATATTTGTTGTGAATTGAGTTTCGTTCAAATTTAATTATACATATTATTACAAAATATTTGTTGCTTTATTATCAGGACAGTTCGATTTACCTTTCTATTGAATAGATTCGCT